ACGTAAGCGTACTGACCACGCCATCTACTGCTGTGCCCTTGTGCGCGGGACCGCAAGTGCGTATCGCTCATGGAAACGAAAGCAACTAACTCGCCGCCGCCGCAGCATTGCCTCGACAAAATAGTCTTCACACCTTTGCTCTGCTGGTGCTGAGCGAGCACGAAGAAAAAAAATCTTTATGCAAGGGCAAATGCCCGCGTATACGTTACAGGGCAAGGCGCTGATGAAGTGGGCTTGATAGGCGATGCACTGTATGCAACTAGCTAGGGGCGCGCTCAGCTTGACGTACGATGATAACGTGTTCCATGTATAGCACACGCCAGTTTTCGCCAATGGATGACCACAGAAACTATACGCACATGCTGAAGCCTGACGAGTCCTCCGTCAGCTGTGTCGCTACTTCAGCATGTAAACCCTCATCATAGTTCCAGAATGATTTCATGATAGCGAATATGGTCATGGGAATGAGCTGAAGTGTTTTTTCACGCAATGGCAAGCATAGGAAGGGCCAAGCACTTTTGGTAATATTACAATGGCGTCATCACATATAGTTTCTGTTGCTAACAGTGACGCACGTAAGGTGATCGACGGATTACTGCATAGTTCCGCTGCGTTCCCTTAAGCACCTTTAAAAATCCGTCGTACGCGCATCACGCGGCAACGTCTTCTGCAATCCACCCTCCGTTACACCGTTGCTACGACCTTGCTCTTTTGCCAACGTCAATTTACTGCCGCCTGTAGCCAGTGCGCCAAAAGGAGTGGCGATGTGGCAAAATAGTGCCCTCGCAGCCGGGAGTTGTGGCTCCGTCAACAAAAAGGTGTATTTGGAGCGTCTTTTTATCACACATCAGTAATCATCCATCCCGTGCGTTTACCTAGCGTTATTGATGTGCGTGCGATACACCTCGGTCACGACCGTGCAGCTATCAGCGCAACACAAAATTCTTGATAGGAAAATGGCGAGCACGGTCCTCGAGAAAGGCAATGCAAGCAAGTGAGATAACGAGTATTGCTGTGTAGTTGAAAAATGCCCGAAGTATTCCTACTTTCCTGATTGATTGATGATTGATTGATATGTGGGGTTTAATGTCCCAAAACCACCATATGATTATGAGACACTGTAGTGGAGTGCTCCGGAAATTTCGACCGCCTGGGGTTCTCTAACGTGCACCCAAATCGGAGCACAGGGGCCTACGACATTTCCACCTCCACCGGAAATGCAGCCGCCGGCCTTAGCCACTAGACCATCGCGGCAGGGCCTCCTACTTTCCTTAGTGGCTTGACCGGATATGAGAACAGGGGACAAAATTGAGAACAGGGGAGAAGAAAACTATAAAATCGGGGTCTTGTGAGCTAAAACTGGATGAATTGTGACCACCTAGACTGCTTTAGTAATCGCTTAGACTTAAGTACACGGCTGTTAACTGTTACAAAATCAAACCAATGGCGTCATGCTCAGTAGTCATCAAGGCAGGTACAAAAGCTTTTTTTGTTTTATTTTTCGTAATAAAGTGCTACCACACAAAAAAAAAAATACAAAAGGTTTGTTCATCAGTGAATTGAACCCAACATCACAGTCACAAGCTCAACTATTCGTCTTATGCTTTCTGGCAAGTACAGATGGTGACATTTTTTCTTTTTTAATTTTTGTGTGCAATAACTTATATGAATGAGTAAAAGGTTACTGGTGAAAAAAAAATTGCACCTCTTCCTTATTCGATATTCTATTCGTATTCGAAGCTGTGTAATCGTATTCAATTCGTATTAGAATATTTTGATATTCGCACACTCCTAGTTTAAACCAATCGACGAGCTGCGTGCTACGTCAAATCGCTCATCGGCGACTTTGCATCGGTGCGCGTGAAAGGATTAACCACGTGTAGGAAAGGAGTGCAGGAATCGTTTTTCAAAATGGAGGCTTTCCGTGGCATGCAGAGCAGTAATATTCAGAAAACGTGATCGCCGTGGTCTACTCTACGAATTGCCAAGCTTCTTTGGGGGAGTGTAATAAAGTCTAAGCCTGTTGACAGGCCCTTTAAAGGGGCCCTGAAACACGTTTTCAAGTAGCCAAGGAACAAATTGACTGGAAGAGCTTATTGTCTCATGAATTCAACGCCGCAAAAATTTTAAGAATCCGTCCAGTACGAGTGGAGTTACAAAGATTTGTCACATGCTGCAATTGCATTCTCTCTTCTTCCGTCCCAACGAAAGCGCTGGAAGCTATGCAGGGAGGGATGACAGCCACAAAGTAAATACGTCACGCGTGCCTCGTGACCTTGATCACTTTTTTCTTTTGTTTTCTTCGAATGCACGACTTCTTTAGTGTGATTGCACGCACACACATGGACAAGTCGCGGCCTTTGGCGGCGATCTCTATAACGACCGAGCGTGCCATGTTCAAATCAGCCAATGGCTGATAGATGGGCTTTCTACGAGTGATTTTTGAGCCACTTCCGTCATTTGTTGAGAGAAAAAGAATCAATTTTTAGCTGACTTTGATCATTTGTTGTGAACTATAGGCTGCATGCTGCGCTATAATATTTGGCTTGCGTGTTGTTGGGAGCCTCAACTACCGATCGGCAGAATTTTCTCACCATGCTAAAAAAGTGTTGCAGGGCCCATTTAGCTGAGCCCCAACTCCCGGTGGTGAAGCATTGCTGCATTGTGAATGCCTTCGGTATACTAGCTGCTGACGGCAGTACAGTGACCTTGGCAAAGTAGCGAGATCACAGCAATTAAGTTAGGAGGACTGATTGCAGAAGATGCAGCCACGCAAGTGTGATGCGCATATAGGACGGAATCTCCAAGGTGCCGTAGAAACGTGCAGCGCAACTAAGCAGTATCTGCCTCAAATTTCTGTCACCATAAGTGTACCGCCGTTATTAACATAGAAATATATGTGATGACGTTATCGTACTGTTACCCAAAGTGCACGCACGACCTTATCTTTGTTTGCGCATGCGTGGATGAACACTCCAGCTCATTTGCATGATTGCGTGCTGCCATCAAATCATTTTGAAACCATGACATGGAAGCAGCACAACTGATGGAAGACTCGTTAGGCTTCGGTCGGCTCAAGTGTCTATGTTTCTGTGGCAATCAATTAGTGAAAACGAGTGCAGCTACATGTGATGTGCCTTCTGCAACGTCAAGCTGAGCATCCCTAGTCAGTTGCATGCAGTGCATCACCTACTACGCTCACTCCATCAGCGCTGCTAACAGTAACCTATGTGTGCCCTTGCGCAGTGATGTTTTTCTTCATGCTCGACCAGCTCCAGACAGTGCAAAGGTGGAAAGAGTATTTTGTCGTGCTAATGAAATAGCAGCGAGTTACCCTGATTCTAGGCACTCCGCCGTGCTCCCAACCGGGTTGCAGAAATTAGGTGCCTTTTCTCATCTTCTAACCACTACCACCACCACCCTGATTCTCACGAGTGACGCACACTTCATAGAAGCAGTGTCGTGCACAGTTATGGCGCAGCACCAAATGGCACGCGTTCAGTATACTTACAGTACGCTTAAATGAGCAATACCAGCACTAAACTACTAAGCCACACGTACAGCCGAGGAGGCAGTTGATGATCTATATTATTCAAGCTGTTTATTGCTGCTAGATTTGTTACGATGATGTGCCGGAGCGTTCGTCGACAGCCGTCATCACACTCCTGTGCGTTTCCGTGCAGCTATCATTTCAGTCGTGCCGAAGTCACAGTAATCACTGCATGGTCCACTGTTGATGCACTTATCATAAAGATGCAAAATTGAAAGTTTTTTACACAGACATATGTGACCGAATATTCAAAACTTTCGAATATATGGTTTTCGAATCGAATACAAATATTATTGAATATTACATTTGTAATATTTTAAAAATATTCGAAATACACATCCCTGCTGTATTTGTCTTTGGGAAGTTCAAATAGTTGAAAGATAGCATTATAGCAGGAATCAACTTGAATAGCAAACATTATTGAAAAAAATATTCGAAGTTTGAAATATTTGCACAGCCCTACTCTTTCGGCAATACTTATCACCTTTTCTTTACTGGACCACAATGACACACAATATATAGCCATGCCAATATATAGCAAAAATAATAATAATTGTCAACTATCCTCAAAACCACATTATGATTATGAGGGACACCTGGAAATTTCAACCAGCTCCTGAACACGGGGCTCAAGCATTTTCACTAATATGCCTCTGCCATAAACGGGATTTGATCCTTATACCCACCAGCCCTATAACCACCATAGAAGGAGTAAGCCTACATAAGACGAATGGTGATGCTGACATGGACAAGCCAAAAAAATGTGGAACTCACTAGTCCTCACTAAAGCAATATGTCTCAACCAAAGTCACCTGAACACAAACTCATAAACATATTACTCAGCGGGGCTCATTCTTGCTCAGATACATGGCTCGAACCAAGTCTGAGTGAGTTACCTCATAAGTGAGTTGACCGACCGATAGCTCAAATGCCTCAACCCACCTACCACCTCCCAATTCCAGCATCACCCTGCACTGACAAGTTAATGGCCCTGTAGCTGAAGATATTGTTACCAGTATTCCTCAACAGTGGCCCAAGTAGTTTTCTCTCATAATAACCATTGACCTCTTTGGCTCGTGTGTGTCAAGCCTCTTCTATGTCTTCGTCCTATGCTCTTTCACCCTGTATCATGCTAATCTAACAAGCCAACAGCTACCCACCCTCGGACTCTTTGGACTTGTTTGCAGACAACTCTAAAGATCAGGAAAAAACACGTCAGCCGTTCACGTTTCTTTCCGTTGCTACAGTTCGTTTATCTGAAAAGTTCGTCAATGTGGTGTTCGTTCTACCAAGTTTTCACTGTATATGTACGAGTCAACGTCAATAAAGATTAGTTGCGAGTCTGGCACCCGTCCTCGTGTTTTCATCATTTTGTGCCTCGTGTTCTTGCGCCAATCTTAACCATGAACCCGCACCAACTCACCCAACTGTCAGTGATGCTAAAACTCACCCAGCATCCACGATATGAGGGAGGTGCCGCTTACGGAAACAGCGCTCATTCATTGCCCATCTGGGAGTCTCTCCAGCCGAGAACCTCATCACCTGCAGAGAAACAAACTCGTGGGCACTAGAAACACATGGTTCCCCTAGTCTTAGCTGAAGACCTCTTAGCACAATGAAAAATAAGAGAGAAGACTTGTACTGAACAAGGGTGTCTATCAAGAGTGTCAACTACGTATTCTTTCAATTTTGTACACGGCGCTACACCCAATGTCGCAAAAAAGACTTGTCATGCCTTCCTTAGCCTTCACACCCCAAGTACCATTTGTGGAGCATTTACACGGACCGCTCTACAAGACTTCAGTAGTGTCTACAGGTACAGCTGATACATTAAAAAAAAAGAAGTGGGGCCTGTTGCATGTGCTGAAACGGCTTCTCGAATCTCGGTTACTGTCATTCGCTGTGGTGCCACTGCTTGGGCACAGCTGCTGACTGAGAAGCCTTCCACAGTTGCATTTGTACGCCTGGCACTGACTCTAATCAGGCCATAGCAGGTGCAGATCACAGGAGGAATATCATCATTCGAAATACCAATTAGGCTGCAGACATAAACAGGTTACAAGAGGCATGGAAACCTTTTTGGACCTCGGTGTTCTCTGTGGAGATTGCCCACGTCACCCTATCGCAGGATGCCTGAGCAGGTAACACACTTCTATGAAGATTTGCTGCCTTAAATATTTGGTCGCTATGTTTATTTGTTTCACAGGAACACATATACCAGCTAATCAAAAACTACCGGAGAGATGACTTGCATCCGGTTTGCAAAGTACTAAGGTAACAATGCAACCGAAATTGAGAAACTACTCAATACATTCAATTCCGGATATATCGAACTCGAAGGAGATTGCCGAATAGTTCTATATATCAACAATTCAAAATACAAAATATAGATATTTAAGGCCTAAATTAAAGCATCTCAGGCCTCAAAAATCGTTACAAGCACCAAAATAACGATTCGCTCAGAGTATAATCAGGATCAAGGTGTGAACTGCAAGTTACTGTACTTTATTTCGCATGAAAATAGTCCGTAAACTTGTCTCGGTTCTTGCGCGCCATCAAGTTCCAGTCATACTCAGTATCATTGAAGCTTTTCAAATAAGCGAATTGAGCTCCTTCAGCCTCAATAGCGTTGATTGACGCAGAACGCTGATGCAAGCTTAGTAGTGTGGCAAAAGTTTGGTTAGCCACGGCAGCATTGGCATATTTGTAACCGCACGGGTACACTTCTGCAGCACTGGCAACAGCAGCCACGATCTCGTCATCGATGCAGTTAGAAACAGCTACGCCATCATCTGCACCGATAAGTCACTCGCCAAGATGGTGGGCGGAAATGCAGATAAGTCACAGATTTCTCCGAGGCAATGTACGCCAGCAGCCATGACGCAATCGAAGTCGTCACTTGGCCTGCAAGGAAAGTTTACGATGGGGCTTTTCACGTCGCTCCAAGTACTAGTGATAATTTTTATCGCTACGTGTGGATCAACGTTCACTTTAACTCCAGAATAAGGATTTGTCAGGAACGAGACGAGAAAGGGCATAAGACAACACCGAGTTTCCACAGTCGACATCATAGCATTAATATACAAAATCTAGAGGAAAAGCTGGGCCGGGAAAGCTATAACAGCCAGAGCACTGACATCTTGGAACGTTGTCATTATTGCCATTAGAACACTTTAAATAAGTGCTAAATATAGCAGTTTAAAACACTCAAATACTCGCACTATAAGTCATGAACAAATGTGTTCACATATTATAAACATTCGTAAATTGTGTGATATGCGTATATCAACCACATTTAGGTAAGATAAAATGAGCATTTATATAATTTACTGCGAGCGAGAAAAAGCGTTTGCAGGTTTGTTTACCAAATGGCACCACCATCTCTGTACCGTATCAACCTTTGAGAGCGTGACCGCGCGGTGTGTGGCCGATTTTGTTGGCTTTCTTGCGCGCCAGGTGGCTAATATACAGTGCCTCGTCCTGCGGGTTTTTTGTTGTCATGAGCCAACAACTCGACTTCATGTGACAGTATATTACTGCAACGTAAAAAAGAACCATGGAGCCACGAAAATGCCAGGGATTATTGCAGCGTTCAGTGGAAAGTACCAGTGGATGCCACATGAAAGCGGAGTATCGTTCCATCATGGCGGAACCCGAGCAGCTATGGGTTTTAATGCATGGGCCCTATGGGGAGCTTTTCCTCTAGAGTATGTATATTAACTCTATAGTCGACATGTTGGCGACATCGATGTCACTTGTGCTTTTATAGCTGGCAGCCGCTGCTTTGATGCAAAAAGGTAGAAAGAGCGCAGCCTCCAAGACGTGCATTTAAAACCGAAAACACGAAAAATACGTCATGAGATTGCACATCTAGAAGGCCATGCTTTTCAGGCTCGTGTGCCATTGTGCACTAACAAGAAAGGGAATGTGAACATTGGAACGAGATCACTGAGTCACTTCACATTCTCACTTTGGTGTCCTTGGCAATAGGTCTTTTTTGAAAGACCTATCGCACGTTAAGAACTGCAGATCGCGCATCCAACGTATCAGTGCACCCGCAAGCGCCGCGCAACAAACCACATCACCGCGATAGAATAACACCGCCTTTTTGTCCCCTGCACACGAAAAGGAATCAAAACTGGTTAGAACGCAGCCGGAAATTGATCAATAATTACTAGGAAAAATGCACTTACTGGGCTTTGGCGCAGCACAGCATTCAATATATCGGATGTCCCGCTGTGTGGGAGTCGAATATACAAGTGCACCGGTTTTATACTTTGGCATGGGAAATTCAAAGGGATTTCTCAACTGTTCGATATAGCCAATAATTCAGTATATTCGAGTTTGGTATATCTGGGATCGACTGTATGAGAGATTTTCGCCAATATATTGACATTTCTTTTCTAGAGGGCTTCAAAAGGTCTAGGCATTGCCCTTTCACTCACGTACCGCTGTTCCCAACAGGTATATTTCTCTTAACAACTCACGCCCGTGCTTGGCATAAAGATCTTGTCCCTAACCCCCTGCCAAAAGAAAAAATTCTGGCGACATACCAAGCTGCACCTTACCTTGAAAAATCATGAATTGAAAATAAAATATTCGTATAGTACATGAAGTTGTTGAAACTTGAGTGTGAGTGGCAGCAAAAAAGTGTTAAATGATTTGACCAGCACCTTAAAACATTTATTGCAGTTTCATAAGAGCAGCAAAGAGTTTACCTATAAACTAAATTACTGTGAAATTAAGACTACGCTTTTCACTAATTATACTTGTTTCCTGTCAACTTGAAAATGAAATGATAGTGTCTTTTAATCGTGACTTAGGGCAAAGAAGGTGGCACTTGGGCTATTAAAGGGGCCATGAACCACCCCTTGCGTCAGACATGAAAAAAAACCTTGGTATGAGTTAGACACTTCCCAGGAATGCCTCGCTGAAAGAATTTTTTAAAAAGCTAAAGTAGGACGGGAGATACAGTGATTGCAACACTTGTCTGAAGCATCCCTCCTCAACTCGCTTCATTCCACAGAAGAGAGTCTATGGCACCCCACCCAAGTCTCCTCGCATGAACATTGTGTGGTTTTCTTTCCGCAAAACGTGGCGGTGCTGATGGCTGCTGCTGGCAACTCAGTTCCAGTTGGCTGCTTTTTGTTGCGCTGTAGCTAGAGTAGCCGTGCGGTCTGGCGTGCTGTCTTTACTCGGGAAAGGGGGCGTGCTTCAAGAGCGCACATAGTAGGGAGCCTTCAGGTGAGCGTTGTAGGTGCACATAAAAGCTCCCTAGCGTGCAGTGATGTGATCACAAGCCGCCATTCGGTTCTGCAAGCGAACGCATAACCACTTGTTTGGTGTTGGTGGGCCCGTGTTTTTTTTTAGTTTGAAACAATGCCTGCCTGTAGCACTGCAAACTGCTCAAGCTGACTAGGAAGGTCATCAAAGAAGACTTTTCACAAGAAGGTACCTTGAAATAATATAAAATTTTGCTAATTTTACTAGTATATAAGCAGTGAGGTATGACTGGAATCACCGGCATTTATGTTGGCTTGCCTACAAAAGGAACTTTATGGGCAGGCTGACCGTAATCCTTCACTGTCGCCTCATGTTGGCAATGCAGCTGACTACATTACAAACTTTGTGTGTCTGATTCTGCGGCTGCGGATCCTCATTGTGAGGTACCACTTGTGTCTCATCAACAGCGTGGGCATCCCATACATAGGCAGATATGTTCACGTTTCCCCACGAGCGCAGGTGCTACAATGCATGCACTCATTACGTGCTACCCTATTAGAAAACTCAGTGGGGCTGTCCCTGTGCCATACGTAAGTTAGGACCAGTGTGGCGCAGTGTCCTAGAAGGCTGGCAGACTGCATGACGTACGCTCGACGCTGCTGCACAGCAGACCCATTTTGCGCTAAAATCGAGCTTTTACCAAATATTGCAAATTATAGGTCGACGTTTGTTTCATAACATGGCCTTCTAAAGTTTGGGGGTTTACCTATAACTGGAGTGAATCTATATGCAAAATTGAAAAGTCGACATGGAATCACAACTTTTCTGAAGGGTCCGATAAATGGTCGTTGTTTCGGATTCACTGCAATTCAATGCATCAATAACATCTGCCCCAGAGGAAACAGAGTCGTGGGAACTGCTATTTCTCAACGCACGCACCGCTTACGGAATTGGACATTTTTACGATCTGCCTACGGTATACGTATGGTGGCTACGGTATAGCTATGGTGGCTACCGTATAGCTATGGTGGTTAGAGGAGGAGGTATCAGAAGCAGCATGTCAGGGATACAGCAATTTTTCATGACGCATCACTGCCAGCATCACAGTTCCACCGCATCGGCGCGTCTGTCACGCGAGATTGGCAACAACACCGGCACCTGCCGCATAGAGGTATGACAGTACATTTGGCTCGCAAATATACGCGACAAGTATTTATCGCTGCTAACAACGCGACATGCGTTTATCTGTCGTTCAAAACAGGACATGCATTTCTCACTCACCAAAACCGTGACATTTATTGTTGGCAAAAGACGTGACG